TCAGGTACCGACTTTAGGTGCTTGTCCAGTGCCAGCTTGAAGACGGTCAGGGGTCTATTGGTAATCCCCCTTATGTATGCTGGGAGGCAGTTGAACAGTCTCGGGCCCCTAACACTTATTGTGTTGTCTCTTAACGTGCTAGTGACACCCCTGCTTTTCATTGGGGGAATGTTGCATCGTCTGCCAAGTCTTTTGCTTTCGCTGTGAGTGATTTTCGTGTGCAAGTTCGGTACTAGTCCCTCTAGGATTTTCCAGATGTATATAATCATGTATCTCTCCCGCCTGCGTTCCAGGGAGTACAGGTTCAGGAACTTCAAGCGCTCCCAGTAATTGAGGTGTTTTATCTCCGTTATGCGCGCTGTGAAGGTTCTCTGTACATTTTCTAGGTCAGCAATTTCACCTGCCTTGAAAGGTAGTGTTAGTGTGCAGCAATATTCCAGCCTAGATAGAACAAGCGACCTGAAGAGTGTCATCATGGGCTTGGCATCCCTAGTTTTGAAGGTTCTCATTATCCATCCTGTCATTTTTCTAGCAGATGCGATTGATACATTGTTATGGTCCTTGAAGGTGAGATCCTCCGACATGATCACTCCCAGGTCTTTGACGTTGGTGTTTCGCTCTGTTTTGTGGAAGGAATTTGTTTTGTACTCTGATGAAGTTTTAATTTCCTCATGTTTACTATATCGGAGTAATTGAAATTTCTCATCGTTAAACTTCATATTGTTTTCTGCAGCCCACTGAAAGATTTGGTTGATGTCCGCCTGGAGCCTTGTAGTGTCTGCAATGGAAGACACTGTCATGCAGATTCGGGTGTCATGTGCAAAGGAAGACACAGTGCTGTGGCTGACATCCTTGTCTATGTCAGATATGAGGATGAGAAACAAGATGGGAGCGAGTACTGTGCCTTGTGGAACAGAGCTTCTCACCGTAGCCGCCTCAGACTTTACTCTGTTGACTACTACTTTTGTGTTCTGTTTGTGAGGAAATTATAGATCCATCTACTAACTTTTCCTGTTATTCCTTTAGCACGCATTTTGTGAGCTATTACGCGAAAAACCAACGTCAAAGACCTGGGAGTGATCATGTCGGAGGATCTCACCTTCAAGGACCATAACAATGTATCAATCGCATCTGCTAGAAAAATGACAGGATGGATAATGAGAACCTTCAAGACTAGGGAAGGCTTTTGCAAAGTCTGTATATATTACATCTGCATTCTTTTTGTCTTCTAGTGCATCTAGGACCTTGTCGTAGTGATCCAGTAGTTGGGACAGACAGGAGCGACCTGCTCTAAACCCATGTTACCCTGGGTTGTGTAATTGATGGGTATCTAGATGGGTGGCGATCTTGCTTCTTAGGACCCTTTCAAAGATTTTTATGATATGGGATGTTAGTGCTATCGGTCTGTAGTTCTTTGCTATTGCTTTACTGCCTCCTTTGTGGAGTGGGGCTATGTCTGTTGTTTTTAGTAACTGTGGGACGACCCCCGTGTCCATGCTTCCTCTCCATAGGATGGTAAAAGCTCGTGATAGGGGCTTCTTGCAGTTCTTGATGAACATGGAGTTCCATGAGTCTGGGCCTGGGGCAGAGTGCATGGGCATGTCGTTTATCGCCTGTTCGAAGTCATTTGGCGTCAGGATAACATCAGATAGGCTTGTGTTTACCAAATTCTGTGACTCTCTCATAAAAAAATTCATTTTGATCTTCGACTCTGTCTGGTTAGCGGCTTGCTAAAAACTGAGTCATATTGGGACTTGAGTAGCTCACTCATTTCCTTGCTGTCATCTGTGTAGGACCCATCTTGTTTAAGTAGGGGCCCAATACTGGATGTTGTTCTCGACTTTGATTTAGCATAAGAAAAGAAATACTTTGGGTTTCTTTCGATTTCATATATGGCTTTTAGTTCTTCCCGCGATTCCTGACTCCTATAAGATTCCTTTAGCTTAAGTTCGATGTTTGCTATTTCTCTGACCAGTGACTCCCTACGCATTTCAGATATATTGGCCTCTTTTAGCCGCTCTGTTATTCTTTTTCGTTGCCTGTAAAGGGAGCGCCTGTCTCTTTCTATTTTACATCTACTCCTCCTTTTTCTTAAAGGAATAAGCCTTGAGCATACATCGAGTGCCACCGAGTTTATCTGTTCTAGGCATAAGTTGGGGTCTGTGTTGCTTAGTCTATCTTCCCAGCTTATATCGTTTAGGACTTGGTTTACTTGGTCCCACTCTATGTTCTTGTTGTTGAAGTTGAATTTGGTGAAGGCTCCCTCGTGACTAATCGCATTTTGTCGGTCTGGGGCTCTGCGCATATATGTCTGAACCTCGATTATGTTGTGATCTGAGTATTTAGTTTTTGATATGGTGACATTTCGTATCAGATCATCATTGTTAGTGAAGATGAGGTCTAGTGTATTCTCCAGTCTAGTAGGCTCTATTATTTGCTGGTTTAAGTTGAATTTTGTGCAGAGATTTAAAAGCTCGTGTGTGTGTGTGAGTTCTCGTCAGAGCTGCCTCCTGGTGTTATCACTGCAGCAACATTATTTGCTATATTCCTCCATTTTAGGTGCCTTGAGTTGAAATCCCCCAGGAGCAAGATTCGTTGACTGACTGCGAATTTCTTACAGAGGTTTAATAATTCTGTAGTGTGAGACTGTTCCTTCAAACCACAATTGTCGTGGAGGTGTGTAGTGGATTCTGTTGAGTGACAAGTGTAAAATAATGCTTCATAGTGGTTGCGTCTGGCTTTATTGGTAGAGATAGGACATAAGATTTTGTTCGGATTTTTAACCCGGAGAGTTAGTCACTCAGGTGAACCCAAGAAAGTGCGTCATCGAGGACTGTCTTATTTTCACTGTGGTCCTTCAATTTTGTTCCCCAGGATGCGACCCACACCAGTCGACTAACACAGAAATACCTACTTGCTAGGTGAACTGGGACAGTAATGCAAGTCGTCTGACAACACATCTAGATATCATCTGGATATGAACTGGCTGCTTGGGCACTGGTCCAGGCGGTATTTGAAAATATAAAGTCTAACGGCTATCCAATGGTCACACTAGACATAATACACAGGGAATGTACATCACTGACAGAATTGCAGTGATGTGCATTGTGGTGCCTTAAATGGAAATTACCAAGCAGCTGGATATTTGGAGCTGTGTTTGATAGACTTTCAAGACAATCCTCGATATTCAGTTGTATCTGGTGTATATACTAGCACAACTAGTTTCCGTTTTTCTATTTTAACTGCCAGAACTGAAACTATATTTTATTGGTGTTATGAACTCAGTACTTTTGAGTGACTTTTTAACATACAGGTCAACCTCTCGTTGTTTCCCTGTTTTTTTTCTAGTCTCATCGCAATTCATTATCAAATTGTTTCCCTGTTTTTTTTTTTTCTAGTCGCATCGCAATTCATTATCAAAATAGCTTATTCTAGAAATCTTCATGAAAACTGCAAACTTAGCATTAGACTCTTTGATAAGACGACAATAAAAGGTATTTTATTGTTTTTCTTTGGTTTGAGAGCTAATACAACTGCAAACACAAAACATGATACATTGTTAGTTGTGCTGATGGGCTTGTTTTGTTCTCAGTCCATCATGACTCTTAAGTGGTGACACATTCTTATTTCTTGCCATTCTTTTCTGCTGGCTGGTACTAAAAAATCCGTGTGGGTTATATGCTAATAGTTTGCATGTTAAGTTTGGCGTTTACGAGGCTTCAGTCGCCTCGTACTCTCCTTGTGGAAGGGTGGAAGAGCTTGCAGGACCCGGAGCGACATGTGCCTTTATTATTCAGGAGATTTCAACGTTTCTTTGATAAATGAGACACTTTTTGCAACATTTGGGTATCTTTATTCTGGAAACGTTTCGCCACACATTGGCTTCTTCAGTCCAGTGCAGAAAAAGGTAGCAAAAGAGGAGGAGTTTGATGTAATCAGTCCCTTAGTCTCGAGTCGTTATGTTCAGAACACATCGACTCAAGGCTGAAGAACTAATTACCTCAAACTCCTCTTTTTCCACCTTTTTCTTCATGGGACTGAAGAAGCCATCGTGTGATGAAACGTTTCCAGAATAAAGATACCTAATTTGTTGCAAATTAGGTATGTTTTTTTTTAAATCATTCATTCACAACATTTCTTTGATTTTCACGGAGTGAAGCCTAATATGCGGCGGAAGACCCGTGCCACGAGACACTTCCACATTTCTATGACAAATTACTACCTAATCTTTTAGGTCTGCTATTTACCTTTGTGAAATATTAAGTGATGTTGATGTTGGCTGAGTGAGGGTATTTTTAACCCTTTGTATGATTATATATTTGTTCATGGTTGTGTTAGAGTGGAGGAGTTAGCTTGTGTGTCGAGAGAGTGAAGGAATGTGTCCATTCTTGTTGTAGGAAACACTGAATGACTTTCTGGTCCACGTTCTCTGCAAATGTTTATATTTGCGATGTAGATAGTGTTGTGGGTGACTGACACATTATCTTAGTATCTTTATCAAGGCTGAGGACCTCATCTTACACCGTTTATATTTATTATTCTCTGTATTGAATTTAAAAAAAAATAGTGTAAGTTTATTCAGGTATACACAAATACAGTTACATAGATTATCGTACATAGCAGCATATGTGTAATGTACCTAGGATAACCCAAAAAAAGTCAGAGTGACACATTTCTGTTGGGGTCCTTTACTTATTTCCATTGGGGTTGGCGAAACGTTCTCCTAATAAAGACTGACAGGTTTTGCACATGTCTTATTCGTTAAAGTGTTGCTACTGCATATCGTTTATATAAGTAAGTTATATATGTGAAAATTACCTAGGATAACCCCAAAAAGAGTCAGTCAATATTACCTTTGAGTGTGGGATGAAGATGGTGTTTGGTGATAATTATGATGTCAAAGGAACGGAGAGAGTTGTTGAGATTAGAAAGACTGGAAATATAGGGTAATATATTGAAGGAGTGTTACGGAGTGTGACGTATTTTGTTTTGTGTTTCAGGCATACGAATTATCGACACTGACGGGGACGCAGGTGATGCTGCTGGTGGCGAGTGAGACTGGCCATGTGTACACGTTCGCTACGAGGAAGCTGCAGCCCATGATCACTTCTGAGGCTGGCAAGGCTCTGATCCAGACGTGTCTCAACAGCCCTGACCCACCCCAGGCCACCCATCATCACGATCAGCGCATGTCAGCCACCGGATTCGAGGAGACGGAGCTGACGTACGCCGTCACTGAGGACGAGCACAAGGTCAGGCAGATGATGTACTCGACGCCCATCAACTCCATGCACCAGGGCGGTTCTATGGCCTCTCCCTCCCATCATGCCGCCGCCGCCGCCGCTGCCGCCGCTGCCGCCCTCCAGACCCACCACCACCAGCCCCAGTACCACCACCCACACCCCCCGCCCACCCCGCACCTCACAACGCCCACCTCCACCCACCCTATGAACCATCACCACCACCACCTGACACAGACCTCTCCTGGTCACACGGGTCATACAGACCACACGGGCGTGGGTCTGCACCAGCACACCCACCTAGTAGCCCCTCAGACCCCCCTTCCCTCCCACTCCCCTCTCCCCCCTCACTCACCCATGGGCGCTCCATCTCCCACCTCACCCTACACTAGCCTGCACCACCACCCACACCACCACATACCCGCCCACTCACGGTAGGGACTCGCCCGCTGCCCCACTCCCCCGTCTTATCCCCTACCCACTTCCTTCAACTACCAGTTCGCTGGGCTGTAAGGTGCCCAGTGTGTACGTGGGAGGGAGAGGCAGGATGACGGTGGCGGCGGCGTCGGCGGGCACTACTAAAATACCCACACTTGCATGTGGGCACTACTTAAATACCCACACTTGCATGTGGGCACCACTTAGATATCCACACCTGCATGTGGGCACCACTTAGATACCCATACCTGCATGTGGGTTGCGGCACCCACATCTTGTGGGTTGTACCTAGGCACCCACACCTTGATGTGGGTTGCACCTAGGCACCCACACCTTGATGTGGGTTGCACCTAGGCACCCACACCTTGATGTGGGTTGCACCTAGGCACCCACACCTTGATGTGGGTTGCAACTAGGCACCCACACCTCGATGTGGGTTAACCTAGGCACCCACACCTTGATGTGGTTAACCTAGGCACCCACACCTTGATGTGGGTTAACCTAGGCACCCACACCTTGATGTGGGTTGCACCTAGGCACCCACACCTTGATGTGGGTTAACCTAGGCACCCACACCTTGATGTGGGTTAACCTAGGCACCCACACCTTGATGTGGGTTGCACCTAGGCACCCACACCTTGATGTGGGTTGCACCTAGGCACCCACACCTTGATGTGGGTTGCATCTAGGCACCCACACCTTGATGTGGGTTGCACCTAGGCATCCACACCTTGATGTGGGCTGTGACACCCACATCTTTATGTAGGCTGCACATAGGCACCCACATCTTGATGTGGCCGGTACCCGCATCCTGATGTGGGTTGCACCTAGGCACCCACATGTTGATGTGGACTGCACTTTGGCACCCACATGTTGACGTAGGCTGCACCTAGGCACCCACATGTTGATGTGGGCTGCACCTAGGCACCCACATGTTGATGTGGGCTGCACCTAGGAACCCACATGTTGATGTGGGCTGCACCTAGGCACCCACATGTTGACGTGGGCTGCACCTAGGCACCCACATGTTGATGTGGGCTGCACCTAGGCACCCACATGTTGATGTGGGCTGCACCTAGGCGGGCGCTGAGGGGCTCAGGAACATGTTGCAAGTAGGCAAACACACACACACGCACGCGAACATTATCTCTCAGTCTGTTGCAGGGTTCGAACCTGCAAACTCGACATCAGAGTACACAGTACTTTAACCACACAGCCAGATTAATATATATGTCGTGCCGAATAGGTAAAACTTGCGATTTTGGCTTAAATAGCAACGCTCATCTTGCCAAATAAGACAAGTGAAAATTTGCGTATGCAATAAAATTTCTCAAAAATCATTCTGAACCTAACGAAAAAAAGTATATTTCACTCTGTTTTTTTTTATTATTAAATTATTGTAAACTTACGTAAAATATATTTAGTTGGATTAGGCTAAATTAAATTGCGCTTGTTATAATAAGGTTAGGTAAGTTTTCTAAGGTTCTTTTGGTACAAAATTATTAATTTTTATATTAACATAAATGAAAAAAATATCTTTAAATGTATAAGAGAAGATTTTAGAGAGGACTTAATTTTAAATGAATTTTTGGTAATTGACCAGTTTTACCTGTTCAGCACGACATATATATATATATATATATATATATATATATATATATATATATATATATATATATATATATATATATATATATATATATATATATATATATAATTTTAAAAATACATTCTTTATTAGAAGAGTTTGGCTTGCTGGAGAGTGTAAAAAGCACGACATAATTTAAATAAAAGTAGATTTTTGTTAATTTATTATGAGAGTGTTAGAAGTTTAAGTGAGCTCCTGAGCCGCCCAGAGCCTCCTCTTGTAGACTGATCTCAGTGTGATGACTTGTGTGCCATACATGTACAAGTGGCGACCAGGTCACCAGCAGCACTGGTCTGTGTCACCACACTCACCAGTACTCACAACCAGAGACAACCTGACTCTTGGTACTTCACCAGGTATAGTGCTGCTGGTGCCCGTCAGCCCTACAACTACCCTGACGGTGGTTGTTTTGACCCTGATGTACGTGACTACGTGGCTTGAGCGATATGGGGTCCTGGTATCACTACCCTCAATTTATACAGTAGATACAGGTGCAACACTTGGCCTCAGCAGTACAATGCAAATAAGAATGGTGAAGATCAGGAGTAGTTTGAGGTAATCAGTCCCTCAACTTTGAATTGATGTAATCAGTACATCGAGACGTGGAGATTGATGACCTTAAACACCTCAGATATTAAATATTCTGATGAAATCATTGGTTGATGAAACGTTTCCATAATAAAGATACCCAAGTGTTGCACATGTGTCTAATTTATCAACCTGTTGCTTCTCTGAACCATTTATCTTCAGTACCCTCAGTACCTGGTTACCCTCAGTACCTGGTTACCCTCAGTACCTGGTTACCATCAGTACCTGGTTACCATCAGTACCTGGTTACCATCAGTAATCGACTACTGACCGCTACTTTAGTGATTGGTGTACCAGCAGGACCCCACGGTAGCTGGATGCCACCTAGTACCTCTTCACTGTCTCCTAACCGCATCACTGACCATCAACTGAATTCTCTCTCGTGTTAAGTTTTTTAGAATGTCAGAGTTGCGTCAGTTAAGCTGTAAATTGAGAGAGTATGTGAGTGGTGGTGTTGGGTTGGGGGTCGGTGGCCACGTGGTGTTGTGGCCAAGCCGGCTGTGTCCACGTGCTTGTGATACTCGCTGTCTGCAACCCATTGTGATGACTTGTTAATAATGTAGAGTGGTAGTGGAGTGTGTGCTCCAGACTTGTCTTGTGCACGTCAAGCATGTTCTTATTTTGCTCGTCACATTGTCCAAGGAGTGCCTACCTCAGCAACACACATATATGCCTTCTATAATAGCGCCTCCACATGTTTTTCTTACACAAGAGTGGTTGTTGCTCTCCGTGTTTCTCAACAGATGGTGTAGGTAGCGTACTGCATCTTGACACCACATGTACCCGACTAGAGGCAAGTGACGCTTCTTTATATTCAGGGAAAACCTGTCAACTTGGCCCACCTTTTGTTATGTTGGGGAATTATATTTTTTTTTGTTTGCCATAATAATTTAGGAGTTTAGTCTTCAGCTAATTGTTGAAGAGTTGTTGTCAGTGTGACGCGGGTGGAGCTACTGTGGTTAGTAGCGACCTGCAGAATGTGCATATTTAAGGTTGTAACCAATTAAAACTTAATTTAAAACAGCTCTCACGTGAAATATAAAATGTGCCATGTTTGGGAACCTCGCTGTGGTGTTTCTTATTGAATAAGAGAGTTAATGTGTGTGTGTGAGGTACAACGTTTAAGTTATGTTTGTCAGCCTCACTTGATCCAGGTGATTTTCAGTGTCTCTGGGAATAAACTCTGACGAGCAGAGGGCCGAGCCGTGGCTTGCTCTTTCCCGAGAGAGTAAGTGAAAAGTGTATGGTACTTGTGTGTGGGAGATAACGTCTTGTCACGAGGCGTCAACGAGCCTGGCTTGTGCTCCACCTAGTGTGTCAGGTGCTTGACTTGTGTTGTGTGCGGGAGATAACGTCTTGATACTAGGCGCCCACAAAGTGTGTAAATTGATGACGAACCTCAGTAAAAGGGTGAAGCCATGGCTGTGTCAAAGGTTAGTGCAATAATCCTCATCCTGGTGAAACTGTCTCGGCCTTGCCATACCCTCGACCAGCCCTTCTTCGATCCCAGCCCTTGACCACCCCTTCCTCGTGCCCAGCCCTTCCTTGTACCCAGCCCTCCACCATAGCCAGCCATATTAAATCTTCCCAAATACCAAGTAGTGTTGTTACTATTGACAACACGAAGTTATTAGCTCCAGCCACTACGTAATGCTGCCTTCGATGATAAAAGTGTCTGAAGAGATCTCATATTTCATATAGACTTGTACACTGGAGATCAGTCAGGTTATAATGATTGTTGTCGTGTAGCTCGCAAGAAGCAGTAGACAGGCCGATCAGACAATCACCAAAGCGTGATCTCGGGTAGGCCTGCGAGAGTAGGCACAGCAAACTGGTCACACGTGAAGCATAAGTTCGGGCTTATGGAGGTACGATGAACCTACTAGAATGTCTGAAATAAGGCAGTGTTAGGATATTTTGTCTACGGAACATTTCGCCACGAAAGGCTTCTTCTAGACTGAAGAAAATCAAGGCGAAACGTTGTCGTAACATAGGTGTGTTGTGTTTCACATGTGTCGGTATTTGATAGCTCTTAACCAGGACTACAGTGCTCAGGTTGAGGGTCGTCATAAGACACTCATCTTGGAATTGTTATTCGCCTCCTGCTTTAATTTTGTGCCTGTTTGCGCTCCCAGTGTCGTCAGCGTCCATTTGTTTGTGTGTTTGTGCATGACAAATAGTATGAAGGTCAGTGCAGTAAGGGTGCATGTTTGGTGCTTGACGTTTTCCGCTATGCATGACCACTTGTGTTTGTAGTGTTTATTCATGTTTAATACCTTTTTCGTGCACTTCAAACGTATTTTGTGGGTAGTCGTCTCATACCCATCTAGTAGTAGATAGTCACTCCGTAGCCATCTAGTAGTAGATAGTCACTCCGTAGCCATCTAGTAGTAGATAGTCACTCCGTAGCCATCTAGTAGTAGATAGTCACTCCGTAGCCATCTAGTAGTAGATAGTCACTCCGTAGCCATCTAGTAGTAGATAGTCACTCCGTAGCCATCTAGTAGTAGATAGTCACTCCGTAGCCATCTAGTAGTAGATAGTCACTCCGTAGCCATCTAGTAGTAGATAGTCACTCCGTAGCCATCTTGTAAGTGGTAAATAGAAAAAGAGCAAGACCAAAGGCCGGGTTCTAAGGTTGTGTTATATAAGCAGGTTGGAGTAGTATTACATTGTTTACAATGATAATTGAGTTATGACGATAATGAATGGGTTATAGCTAGTGAATATTACAATGAAGTATCTTCAGTGTATCACACACACACACACACACACACACACACACACACACACACACACACACACGTACGTTATTTAGAGTAGGAAAAAATTGCTGGAATTATCACACAGTGTGTATAGAATGGAAGGCAGTCAAGTTTGATCCGAGGAAGGGGAAAGTGGTTGCACTTTCTTAGGCCAGGAGTCCTTGATTATCAAGGCTGTGGTAAAGCAACTCTTGTCTTGATGAATTAAAGACTTGCGTATATTATGGAAACGATTTACCAATTAGCGTCTTCCTCAGTCCGGTACAGAGAAGAATGGTTGAATCTCAGGAGTTTGAGGTGATCAGTCTTTTCAAGATTGATGGACTAATCACATTGATTCTAGGCTGAGGGACTGATTACCTCAAACTCCTGATCTTCAACCGTTTTTCTCTGTACTGAACTGAGGAAGCTACTGGTTGGTGAATCGTTTACACAGTAAAAATACTCAAGCGTTTCACTAGTGTGTAATTCATTAACCTATACATTCTCAGAAGCAGTTGTCTAATATTGGTGTTGATTCCCGATGCTTCTGTAGTGAGAGGCTGGCACGGGGGTCCCATGCGTCCCTGTGTGTGCATGTGCCTGCCTCTCTCCTGTGTATGCCAGTAAGTGTGTATGCAGGTCTGTTTACATGTGGTGTGTGTGTATGTGTGTGATGGTGGTGTGGAAGCGGTCAAAGTGGAAGGTGGCTGCTGGTACCGAGGGTGGTGCGTGGCGGTGGTGATGTGGCTGGGTCTACACCAAACACTTGTGATGACTTAGTTCTTACGTCCCGGTGCTTCATAATGCTGATATTCTTAGCTTTATACCTTATTATTAATTTTATTATTTTGTTTATTTGATATTAGACCACTCAAGCACTGGTGAGATTCATCCTTTGTACAGCCTTTGAACACTGTTGCCTTTAAAACAATATTTATACCACATATTTCAAGTGTTTTGTTCCAAGAGATATTAGAGACTGTTGTCGTAGTTGTTGTTCTTGTGGCAGTGTAGGAGTGTGTGTATCAGTAACAGTAATGGTGACCTGCTTATCTGGAGTTATGTATACTATAATGTATTGATGTAGAAGCCCTTCTTTTGGGGATCTTCGCCCCCCACTTTACAGTAGGGTCTGGTGCATAATGTTTTAGCGTTGATGAATAAGTCACAATACCGTGGCTGGAACAGTCCACACCTAACTCATCAATTTGAGGTATAACTACATATATAAGTACGCCCTGGAGCATTATAGTCTATGGAACACTCACTGAAGGCTCCTCTATAGATACGATTTTTTTTTTTGTAAGTGGGTCTCCGTGCCTGCAGTGTCTGATATTTATCCA